GAGAATGCCTTTAACTTCTTGTCATCCAACCACTGAGCCTCCCTGCATCCCTGCCCATTCTTTTCTCCTTTCCTCTGGTTACCACGGAAAAGGGTAATCTTCCACCCGGGCTTGGATCACACCCCATACCCCTAATCCACTCAAGGACTACTTTTCTCCGGTATGTTTAAATTCTCTCTCTCTTCTGCTACTTCCCCAACCTTTAAAAAAGCTCATCTTTCCCATAAAAAAAGAAAAGAAAAGAAAGAAAGAAACCCCTCTCTCTGTCAAATTTTCCTTTGGCTTTGGTCTCATTTTTTTTTTTTTTCTTCTTGAAAGACTAGCCCACACCCACTGCTTCCATTTTTCTGCTTCCCACTTCCTCCTTGCCCCCTGTAAGCATGCTCTCTTTCCCCAACCCACTTCCAACAACCTCACAGAAACTACTCTCACTAAGGATGCTAAGACCTTGCAATTGTTAAATACATTGGGAGCTTTCAGTCCTCACTTTCCTTGACCTCTCTGGTATAACTCATCCTTGGCTTCTGAGATAACAGTATTTCTTATTATCTCTTTGGCTAAGACTCAGTTTCCTTCATGGGTTCCTTCTACTTACCTATCCCTTAAATCTGATTTTTCTTCAGCAATTGCTCAATTCTTTTTGCATCTTTTCTTATACTATCTTCCTAGACAATCTCATCAATCCTATTTCACTCATAAGATGAATGGACCTCTTTTCTGAGTGTCATACCCAGTCTTCACCCAGCCAATGGTCATCTTTACTTGGGAGTCAACATGTCCCCAGATGGACTCACTTTTCTCCAAACTGACACTTCTCCTTTATTCCCTATCTTGGTGAGTGAAGCCATCATCCACTCAATCACTCAAACCAGAAATAAAGTCATCTTTGATTGCTCCCCTTTTCATCTATCATATCCATTTGCTCTCAGAGCCTTCTTAATAGCTCTTAAACACGTTCCCTTCCTTTCTGTTCCCTCCTCCAGTACCCTAGCCCCAATCTGTTAACTAGACTCTGCCTCTAGAATTGTTCTCCCCAACCCATTCCCTACACTTTGGTCAGGGTTGTTTTCTAAAATGCAAATTAAATTGTGTCATTCTGCTGCTTTAACTTCTTTAATAGTTTGCCCAATCTTTAAGAAAAGTTAAAACTTCTTGGCAAGGCATATGTTGCCTTCATGATCTGGCCATGTCTATCTTTCCAGTGCCCTGTAGACAACTGTGAACACTATCTCATTCCTCTTTCTTTCTCCTTTTCCCAACAACACATTTACACTTTGATGGGGCTTTCTGGCCTTTGTGCATTTGTAGATGTTGGTCCTGCTTAGAACTTCATTCCTCATCTCGCTCCTTTTTGCCTGAAAAATTCCCACTCATCCTTCAAGATGCAGATCAAGCATCACCTCCTCCGGGAAGCCATCCCTGATTATCCCCTTTCCATTAGGATTAGAGGCCCCATGTGCTCCCTTAGTACCTTGCCCTTGCCTCTATTATACACTCATTAAGCTATTTACTTATCTTTTCCTACAGCTTTTCTCCAAGTTCCTTGAGAGCAAAGACTGTCTTGTTCATCTTCACATCCTCAGCATCTACTGTTGTGCCAGGATTTTAAAGTGAGAAAGGTTGGGTTGATTCAACAAAGAGCTCAGAAGACTGTTAATGTGACTGAAACTGAAATTCTATACTCTTTGAGTAACAACTCCTCATTTCTCCCTACTGCAGCCCCTGGCAATTAACATTCTACTTTTTGTTTCCATGATTTTGACTACTGTAGATATCTTAGATAAGTGGAATCATACAATATTTGTCCTTTTGTGACTGCCTTATTTCACTCACCATAATGTCCTCAAAGTTCCTCCATGTTGTAGCATGGAACAGGACTTCCTTCTTTTTCTAAGGCTAAATAATATTCTGTGTATGCCACATTTTCTTTATCCATTAATCCATTGATGGACATTTGGGTTGTTTCTACCTTTTGGCAATTGTGAATAATGCTGCAATGAACTTGGATGTGCAAATATCTCTTTTCAAGATCCCACTTTCAATTCTTTTGGATATATACCTAGAAGTGGGATTGCTGGATCAGATAGTAATTCCATTTTTAGGTTTTTGAAGAATTTCCATACGATTTTTCATAGCAGTTGCAATATTTTACATTCCTACCAGCAATGCACAAGTGTTCTAATTTCTCTACGTCCTCACCAACACTTGTTATTTTCTGTGCATTTCTTTTTTTTTTCTTTTTTTTCTTTTTTTTTTGAGCCAGAGGCTCACTCTGTTGCCTGGGCTACAGTGCTGTGGCGTCAGCCTAGCTCACAGCAACCTCAAACTCCTGGGCTCAAGCGATCCTTCTGCCTCAGCCTCCCCAGTAGCTGGGACTACGGGCATTCGCCACCATGCCCGGCTAATTTTTTCTGTTTTTAGTTGTCTGGCTAATTTCTTTCTATTTTTAGTAGAGACGGGGTCTCGCTCTGGCTCAGGCTGGTCTCAAACTCCTCAGCTCAAGCAATCCTCCCATCTCGTTCCTGAGCCACCGTGCCCCGCCCTGTGCGTTTCTTTTTATAGTAACCATCCTAATGGATGTGAGACGATATCTCATTGTGGTTTTGATTTACATTTCTCTAATTATTAGTGATGTTGAGCATCTTTTCATATGCTTTTTGGACATTTGTATATTTTCTTTGGAGAAACGTCTGCTCAGGTCCTTTGCCCATTTTTAAAAATTGGGTTACTTGTTTTTCTGTTGTTGAGTTGTAAGAGTTCTTTATATATATATATATATATATATAAATATATAGTCTGGATATTAACTCCTTATCAGATATATGCTTTGAAATTATTTTCTCCCATTCCATAGGTTGCCTTTTCACTCTATTGTTTCCTTTCATGTGCAGAAAGTTTTACATTTTGATGTAGTCCCATTCATCTATTTTTCCTTTTGTCGCCTGTGTTTTTGGTATCATATCCAAGAAATCATTGCCAAATCCAATGCCATGAAGCTATATTTTCTTCTAGGAGTTTCATATTTTTTGGTCTTTAATGAATTTTGTGTTATTTTTTGTGTATGGTATAAGGTAAAGGTCCAACTTCATTCTTTTGCATGTGGACATCTAGTTTTCCCAACACCATTTGTTGAGGATATTGTTCTTTCCCCTTGTGTGGTCTTGGGACCCTTGTTGAAGATTATTGGACCATATATATGTGAAGGTTTGTTTTTGGGCTCTCTATTCTGTTCCATTGGTCTATGTAGCAGTCTTTATGCCAGTACCATAATTGCTACTTCTTGACCAATTACAGTTTTAGTATCTCTCTTGCCCACTCTCTCTATAGATAAGATTTATTGTTACCCCATGATACAATCACCTCCACTTCCTGGCAGCATCCAATCTAGAGCCAAGCCCTGCTTCCTCAAACTCTTTCCAAAATCACCTAATAAAAGCCCAAATCCTATCACAGGAACTTCCTAATGACACAGGAAAGTGACTCCCAATGCTGGAATCACTTGAAGTCCAAGTACGTCCTTGGCTTTGTGCAAGAAAGAACTCAGGAGCAAACCGACAGCATAAAACGAAAATGAGTTTTATTCAGAAAGTATAGAAAATCCACTCCACAGACAGAGTAGAGCAGTGGTCCCCAACCTTTTTGGCACCAGGGGCCGGTTTCATGGAAGATGATTTTTCCATGGATGGAGGCGGGGGGAAGGAGGCAGAGCTCAGGCGGTGATGCGAACTATGGGGAGCTGCTGTAAATACTGATGAAGTTCTCCTCACCCAGCTGCTCACCTCCTGCTGTGTGTCCCCCTTCCTAAGTTTCATGGAAGACAGTTTTTCCACGGATGGAGGGGTGGGAGTGGGCAGGGGTCGGGGAGTGGAAGGCAGGGCTCTGTGGCTTGATTTCTAATAGGCCACAGGCTGGTACTGGGGCTTGGGGACCACAGGACTAAAAGCTAGTTCTTCCTGCAGAGGAGAACCTGCTCCATGGTTCCTTTAGCCACTCTATTTAACCAACAGGTTAATTATAGGCTAAACGAGGGGAAATGTTCATGCTATTTCTTGGTAAGGGGTGGTATTTTCCTGGAATTAGGGTGATGTCCTCCTTCTGACTAAATATGATTAAACAGAAAGTGTCATGGCGTCAGGTACATGATGGGAGTGGGAGGTTTTCTTGGAAACTTTTATAGTTATGAACTGTATAATGAAGTTGTAAGGTCAATAAGTGGTCAATTTCTCCACCATCTTGGTTCTAACCTGTTGGAGCTTGTCCTGCCTCTGTCTAGTTTTGATTGGGGTAGTTTGAAACTTCCTTTTGAGACTCCCTGACTCAGGCAATGTCTGCAGCAATGCCCAAAGCAATGCTGGAAACAATGCCTAAAGCAATGCCAGAAGCAATGTCTGAAGTGGTGCTTGCCAGTTCCCTGTCTCCAACGTCTTCTTACTGAGATGCCCTGAAATTCTCCATAGTTCATGGTTGTTTAACTACAGGTGGGTTCCTCGTGGTCTTTGGCTGGAGGGCATTGACATATAAAAACATGGGATTAGTATCTTCAAAATATATAGACCAGTAAACATTAACAAGAAAAGGATTCATATCCCAACAAAAATTGGGCAAAACCAATAAGAGAAGAAATATAAATGGCTTTATAAGCACTGAAAAAAAATGTTTTACTTCAGATGGATGAAATGATGCTGATCAGTTGGTGGGACCTTTATTTCGAATTCGAGTTCGTCTGCTCTTGCTGCCCCTTTCCTGAAAGTCTCAATACTAAAAGCCTGAGAAACCCTGTATTTGGGGAATTTATCCTTTATCACCAAGTTTGAGGGGAAGGGGCAAGGAGAACGTGAGTGGAAAGGCCGCTCCGAATGGGATTTAGCTCCGCCCTTCCCCAATAAGCCCATACTCCTGTGACCGCCGTGGTCCTCCGAGGGAAGCGGCGGAGCAGCTGACTCGGGCGTGTCCCAGGGGAGGGAGGTTCTAGCCGCTGCCCTCTCGATGGTAGGGCCTGCAGCAGCCTAGTCTCTGGGCGCCGCCATGTTGGAGGCTCAGAACTCAAGCGGTGGCTGCGAGCACTGGAGCTCGCGCGCAAGCGAGGCCGACTACACCGGGCAGATGCTGGAAGTGTCGCCGGGGTTGTACCTGGGTGGGGCGGAGGCCGTCGCAAAGCCGCACCAACTGAGGGCGGCGGGCATCTCAGCGGTGCTGACGGTGGACTCGGAGGAACCCAGCTTCAAGTTGGGGGCTGAGATCGAGGATCTATGGAGATGCTTTGTGCCAGCGCTGGACAAACCCGAGACCGACCTGCTCAGCCATCTGGACCGGTGTGTGTCCTTCATCAGACAGGCCCACGCCGACGACCGTGCGGTGTTGGTGCACTGGTGAGTGGTCGGATCACTGGGGAGCAGTGCCTCACCTCGCATTCAGTCTGCCCCCGTCACCCCTTTCCTCCTAGGTCACCAGGGGAGTACGAGGGAGGCAGTCAAACCACGAGAACCTCTTCCCATTCCCTCCCGCTGGAGGCTTGGGTCCGAGAGAGGGTAGGGGGCTGGAGGCGAGCCCCTGATGGCGTGCAGGCTTTCTTTCGTTCATGTTTTGGTTGGTTTATTCTGCAACAAGAGTTGTTTTGGGAGTGGGAAGAGGTGTCATCAGATAAATGACAAAGTCCGACACTCTAAGGAGTTTACAGCTCTCTGGGAGAAGCCAGACACCCACCCGATGATTGTAATACAGACTAGGATGCTAGGTGTTTACTAAGAGAGATTAACAAAGGTTTAAGGTTATTTAGACTTCAGAGTAAGAGCATGTTATTTTTAATGTTTTTGTTTGGGGTGAGGGGGTTGGTTGATGAAAGGGGGAATTGGTTATAATCTAAAGGACACCTGAGCCTTCCTTGCCTGGGGGAGAAATGGGGTAGGTTGCTGCCAAAACAAAAAGAAAATTTTGGTTGGCTATTTGGGAATCCCTAAGTACTCCTTGGTTGGATTGGAGGGTAATAACAATAATTTGAATTTATTGAGCACTTACTGTGTGCCAGCACTTATTCTAAATTTTACACAAGGACAGAAGGTATAGTGATAAAATCCAAAGAAGTTTGAGACCAGATCTCCAGGGCCTTGAATGCTAAGAGCAAAGGAGTTTGGATTAGTTCTGAAGACCTCATAAATTTTTTAAAAACTACTGTAATTATTTTTGAACAGGTAATACATTCACAGGGTTCAAAATGCAAGAGGAACGTGGAAGTAAAGGAATAATTCTTTGTACATTGGTAGTATTTCTGAGGCAATGGGTTTATTTGAGTAGAAGTAGAAATGCAGTAGATCTGAACTTTGCCATTAATAGGGGCTGGGTTTTTTTTTTTTTTAATTATTGCTATTTGCTGTTTACCTTGAAGGTCTCTTTTTCAGTCATGCAGGACTTAGCCGAAGTGTTGCTATTGTGACTGCTTTTTTGATGAAGAATGACCTACTTACCTTTGAAGAAGCCTATGGAGAGCTCCAGACTATCAAACCAGAGGCTAAGTGAGTTCTTCGTTAAAGTAATAATTCTGCTTTTGTGATGTGATTTTATTTAAAGAAAATTGAACTTTTTATTTCTTTGTCATTACAGGATGAATGAGGGGTTTGAGTGGCAACTGAAATTATACGAGGCAATGGGTAATGAAGTGGATACCTCTAGTGCAATTTATAAGCAATATCGTTTACAAAAGGTTACAGAGAAGTATCCAGGTAAGTAATAATTGCTAGTGTGTACTGGGGTCTTTTTAGATGTTATTTACTCTAACACTGAACAGATTATCTCATTTCCAGCAATCTTGAGAAACTATTGTTTACTTTTGAAACTAGTTTCCTTGGAAATAACTTATTCAAGGACATGTGGTTTGTAAATGGCGGGGCTGGGATTTGAACTCAGGTAGTCTGTGCCAAGAATCCAAGGACTTAATCAGTATGCTTGTTACTGAAAGTTGGGCATTTGTCCCTGAGGCTATGAGCTTTTAAAGGGGATGGTCCTGATTAATCCCATCTTGAGCCCTCTCCTGTGACACTAAGAACAAAGGCCACTCTCTTGACCCTCTCAACCACTGGTCTGAGGCAGGGATGGATGTAGGTTTTAGTTCTTAAAAAGTGTAAGCAGGTTTGGAAAAGACAGAAGACGTTTTTTATCCTTTTTTCAGGCCATTTTCTCTGTTATATGACATCATTCTGATTTCTCAACACTGGAATTTGATTTTTTTTTTTTAATTTCTAAGAATAGCATTTGTTGCCTCAATTTGGCATTAACTGAGTTTTGACTGAAAGTGCAGAGTTGATTTTGACACATAAATACATTTTAATTATGTCATATAGAATTGCAGAATTTACCACAAGAACTTTTTGCTGTTGACCCAACCACCATTTCACAAGGATTGACAGATCAGGTTCTATACAGATGCAGAAAGTGCAGGTAAAATATTTTGTATCCTCCGGAGATTTTTATCTTGCCTCAGTAGCAGAAAAGTACTTAAAAGTTTCATTTTCTTAAATCTCTGTGGGAAGGATTTGTTTAATTGAATAATA